ATTTTCACGTGGTTAGTGAAAACATGAGTGTAAAACCTGAATATATATACACATATATGTTTCTCTTCATGCTGGTGTCTTCGCTCTCTATTCCTCCACACAAGCTGTCCCACTGTTCCCTTAGAGCCAACACACAATTAGCAATTAATGATATAGCAGGTAGTTAGCACTACAGGAACCAAGTACGACATTCAATCCTCAAATTTCAGCTGAATTAATGACCAATTCAGTTCAGTTATTAGACTCAATGTCAAAAGGTGGCAGAGTTCAGATCACTGTGATGCATCAGCACATTAAACATAAGTTTGTTCTGTCTGCTCAGTGAGGGGAACTTAGAGAAGACATCTAGAAAGGTCATCATGACATATCTCTTACCACGATCATTACCATGGCAACATTTTATTTTTATGGTACATAAAGTAAGTTGTCAACATTATGCACGTCGGTGGTGTTGATTATAGAATGAGTAACAAATCCTGAGATGAGATGAAAAAATATTGCTGCTGTAAAGGTAAGAGGATGGGTCACCACAGAGTGAAGATTTCCAATATGAAGAGGGAAAACTAAAAATGAGATGAATGAAAGCAGCCAGGGTTTTCCCTCCTGCTCACACAGCAGAGAGAGCAGCTGATGTCAGAGGACACCGTCCCTGTCAAGAACTGCTGGAGTCTGTAGATCACATGTAATTTACACAAGGAGCTTATGAAAAAATACTCTTTTCCGATGGGCATTTTCCTCTTTCCCTCCTTTCCTTCGTTTGTCTATCCATCATGCTTCTCTTCTTTCTCTTCTTTTTGATCTTTGGCTTTGCTGGTCTTCTGCAGGCACCATTAAACAGTAAAACAAAGCTGAAGCTGCTCCTATCGGTTTTATGTCAAATTTCACCCAAGTCAGGTTAACCGCTGCCATTCAAAATCCATATCATCCATTCTGTTTTCTTCATTTTCACTCTCCACTGCTGCAGGGGCTCCCCCTGAGGTCAGCAGCATCTTCTTCTGAATACACACGTCCTCCTGTGTGTGCATGAGTGTGTGCATGAGTGTGTGCATGAGTGTGTGCGGCGCACGTGCGCCTAAATTGGTATGCATGTGTGTTATTGAGTTTACAGAATTAATGCTGCTATTGAGTTAAAGAGCATCCTGACTCCAGCATGCTCTCTGAATAGGGTGTCGTGCTCTGTCTCTCTCTGCTTCCCTCTTGCACTTTACAGTCTCTCTCATTCGTTTCTTGAAACGACTCTCTCCGTCTCCCTCGTGTCACATTCTCTGCTCTGATTGCAGCCATTTGCAGGGAAGAATAGATCTTTATTAATCTTTGCTTTGCTTTTTCTCTCTCATCCCTTCTTCCTTCCTTCTTTCTGTTCCCTTTAGTGAAAACAAAAAAAAAGCAATGTCAGGCTCCTCTCTGTCTCCTCATCTCATTTTCTTACATCTTGCTGCCTAGTTTTTTTTCCGATTTCCTGTCACTATAGTGAAACGGGAAGGATAATGATCGGAGGAAGGAGGAAAAGAAAGGAATGGAGTGGGAAGGAATGGGAAGTAAAAAGGAAGGGGAAGAGATAAAAAAACAGAGGAATAGTAAAAAGGAAGAGAAGTTTATTTGAAGAGATGTACAGGAAAGAGGAAATTAAAGTAAAGTAAAGGAAGGAAGGACAAGTACATTTTTCACAGGTTAAATTTTACAAGAAAACTAGTGAACAGGATGTAAAAAGAGAAGAATGAAGAACAGAAAGGGAAAGAAATCTTGCAAGCTCCAAATTAGTTGTGCAATTACAGCTCGCTCTATGAGTTAAATTCTTTATCTGCCTGCTGTGACAAACAGGAAAACAAGGCAGCAAATTTACCCCGGCAAAATATCAACTAAGCAATTTAAGCAACAGGAGAAGGAAAAACACAATAGCTGCTTGAGAAATGGCTCAAAGTTAGAAGATAAAGATGTACTATTCATAACAGACTGGAAACCAGAGCAGTTAATACACGCCTGAAAGAGAAACCGTGAACACTTAGGTTCAGTCATAGAGGCCCCTTTTCCTCTTCTGATTTCCTCTGATAAAGCAGAGGTATTGTGGGTCTGTGAAACGGTGGCAAATATTTATAACATTCACTGTGAGCTTGTGTTGTATTTTTTGTGTTCTGTATTCCCAGATGAGTATATGTGTGTATGTCTGTTGGTGTGAGTTTCTATATGTCTGTAACAAAAGTAAACACAATTTAAAAGAGTTAATACAACCAAAGCTTTTAAAGGCTTTAGCTCTTTATTGGGCCATGAATGATATTTGGTAGCTTAAATGGACATCAAAATCCCCCTCCCCCCATAAATCACTGAGAAGTTGTCGAACTACTGTACATGGATTTCTTCCAGCCAATCAGCAAAGATCAGGTGTGTGACAGATAGTGGCAACAATGTGTCTAATCAATCAGTGATGATCTGGAGAATTGTAATTTTCAGTGTTCTTCCAGAATTCATGAAATCGGGTCCTTCGCACTTACCTGCTCCTACAGTTGGGCTCATAATGCCCAAACTGATAAGTCGATAAGAGCGAAGCATTATATAGTTCAAAAGTTGCTTTAGATGTTGAGTTAGATGTTGTGTTGGATTTCTAGAAAGTATAGATTAGTGAAATTTGTGGCATAATAATGATGGCACCATATTTACTTTTCACAACGTTCACCTAAAAAACGTTCACTACAAACTGATGGTTACTTTGTAGTTTTTAGCACCAGGTGAGCCATATTGTGTTCTAAAACACACCCTATTATAAACATAGGACAGTAGTATTCATAGTAAACTGGATTTGGTCAAAGCTTCATACAGACAGTTATCCAATGATAAAAATTTAACCCACTTTTACACATTTCACCTTTTTGTTCTGGCTAGAAACTGTGAAATATTAGATTTTGTTATTTGTGTTATATTTGTGAAAACTGACAATCAAGTAAAACATATTCCTTTGTTTGTATGTGTTTTTCCCTATAGTCTATGTATACACACTGTTTAGAAAAATGTGAACTCCAAGCAGTGAGTGTTGATCTTGAAAAAAGTTTGAAAAAAGTCACACAAGTAAAAAGAAATGTTCTGCAACATGCTCAAATAACACTCGGTAACAACCATATAAAGGGTTAAGTCGGTAAATAGCTCTTTGCGTCAAAGACATTCTGTTTCTTTGCATAACTATAATGAAAATGTATCTGTATATTTTTAAATAGTTCATTCAAAGCACAGAAAATGTGTTTTAAACAGCTTGTTGAGGAAACAGCATCTACTGTGAGTCTGAAGCGGCTAAAAGGAGTTTTTCCTTGGAAACATTTGAGTGACATTTCAAAGCCAGAGTTGCACCCTCTGCAGAGCACTAATATTTCACATGATACTTTACAATGGTTAATAAGCACATTTTACCACAGCAGGAATAGTGCAGCGCTTCAGTGACTGTTCTGTCTACTGTACTGTCACAAAATGTTGCAGCAAAAGTCGAGCTGGAGTTTTTGTTTCCTTTATGGTTTGAAACTGTGGTATATCTCCACTGGAGCCGCATTTTTTCTCATACGACACCCACTCCAGTCTTTATTAGTTTGTGATTATTTTTATACGGTATCTCTTAATAATGTCTGTGTGTTGTCTATCAGAGGGAGGTGCAGTTCTGGTTTGCAACAGGTGGAGCAGGCTTCTGCCTGAGTCGAAGACTGGCAGAGAAGATGGCTCCGTGGGCCAGGTATTTACAATTTCTGTGTGTGCGTGTGTGCTTTATAGGGACGATGAAGATAAGACAGTGAGGGAAAAAAAACACAAGCACACAGACTATCACATCTATGTAATGCTAATATGAATTCAAACCAAACATGTTGAGGGCTTTTACTCATTATAGCATTTTTTTCACTGGTTTTAAATATATGTTTGTAAAAATGGCTTCTTGTTTAATAAGTGTGCAGATTTTCTAGTTTTAGACGACCTCCTGTTCTTTACATTGCTGTAGGGAACTTGCATTAATGCTCAATGATATAAACTTGTTTTAACATATCTCATCAGTTTTAATGGAAAAAGCATCGAATGTTAAACTAATTAAATCATAAATGCTAACACAAGTAAACCTCTGGTGTGAAAAAGCAAAGCCGATTCTAAAATGCCTTAAATGTGCACTCTTTTTAGCGGTCAGCAGGGGGCGACTTCTCTGGTTGCGCGTCCCTTTATAGACAAATATAGAAAAATGACCCCAAGAGACAGAACAACTGGAAATGACATAGGTTTATTTCTATACTCCCAGACTGGTGGTGTCAACAGGTCAACAGTACCAGCACAATTTTACTCTGATTTGTTTAGTAAATGCACCTGTGGTTATGTTTTAGAGCACAGCTCAGATGAGCTCATGAAAAATGGATGCGCTGTCCATGGTCCTGAATTTGTAACTGTTTCATTGGAACATAATGAAAATTTATTGGAGAAAACATTGTTTTTTAATGGAAATGCATTGATCATAAAAAAAGCAATCAGCACCGTGATCAAAAAACAAACAAACATCAAAATACACTTCCTTTGCCTGATGTCCATCTAAGACCTGATTATTTTTTTAGCATTAGCTCCAAAGCCAACTTCATCGCTCCGTTTGCTCTGTTCTTGTGTCATTTTGCTTTGTACACCATGGGGTCGACTGAAATTCCTACACACGCTCTTAAATCTCTGCATTGCCTCATCAGTTCACTTAATGCTGTCAAATCAAACACAAAGCACAAGAGATACTTTTTCAGTGCTACATCAGCAGAGTTAGAGTAAATTGCATGTTGCGATCTTAATAAATCTCCTCTTACTTTTTACTGCTCAATATACCAACAGGACTGATTTTCCACCAAAATTATTTATTGCTGTGTTTATGGTCTCAGCGGCTAATTTGATTACAACAACTGCAACATGATATTCATTCTGTAAATTATCTTGTAGCAATTTGTTAATCTTTTGACTGACAAATTGGTGCTGTATCTGTTTTGACTTTTTGGTTTCTCCGTCTGTCTCTGAAACTTTGTATTTATACTTCTCTCAAAGAGCTGGAACTAATAGCTGCCCAGGGCTACAGGTAGAGCTAGAGAACCAATCAAAAAATAGTTCTTTGGAAAAGGTCAGCAGTAAAATATGCACAGTAAACAGTCAATGGGCCCAACCACATGTTTTCAGATAAAAGTTGGACAGTTTATGGCGCTAAATTTCTCCCACAGTAAATGTGGATGTATTGCACACTCTGCTATGTGAGAATATACTGAGAAAGGCTCTTTTCCCCTGTGTATGTCAGTGGCTCCCAGTTCATGAGAACTTCAGCTAAGATCCGTCTTCCTGATGACTGCACTGTGGGCTTTATTGTGGAAAAGCGACTGGGAATCTCCATGGTCCACTGTCCTTTATTCCACTCGCACCTGGAAAACCTGCTGCTCATCGGCCAGAGAAGCATACCACAGCAGGTAGTAGCAGGCGGTTTTATACACAGGTGTCCAAGCAAATGCACTTCTTCCTACTCTCGTGTGTTTTCTAATCTGCAGGTGACACTGAGCTATGGGATATTCGAGAATAAGATGAACAGCATCGAGGTAAAAGGGAGCTTCTCGAAGGAGGACGATCCCTCCAGGTTTGTTTCTCGCAATATTCATTCGTAAATGAGGAGTACTAAGAAATGTGTCCTTGCTGACATTATTGTGTTTAGTGTTCCACTGGCTCCTTTTGCACATAAATGACATAACATTAAAAAACATATGTCACTTTTAAAGACTAATGGACCAAACTCTAATTATTGTAGGATTTTTATGCTAATTGCGGCTTGGTTTTAAAGGCTTATTGGATACCAAAACCACTACACAACAGGTTATAATACTCACATAGTCTAAAATTATCATGAGTGCAACTGCGATACTAGATTATGACCAAAAGCTGAGCATAAAAATCCAGGTCCAGGCACTGTGCTTTTTTCTCAGCGTGAATACAGTGTCTCTAGGCATTTTATTGCTTTTTCAAAGTACCTGAGTTCTCCTCTTTTATTTTTTGGCTGCATTCCC